ATATATCCTTTTTTTTTCTTATTCTTTTTTAATATTTTTCTTAAAAAAAAACCAATATGTGTAATTTTTCTACAATTATTTTCTCGCGTGATTCAAAAGAATATATTATTCGTTACGTATATGTATGTGTTTGCTTTTTAATACGCAATATTCTCGATATATCTTTCACTAACTAAGAAAAAAAAGACAAGAAAAAAATAAAGAGGATAAGACGAAAAAAAAAAAAGAAATTAGTAGAGGTAATAAAAATTGGCAGGAAACGATTTTCGAATGAATATTTAATTAATAACCTATTACACCGTTTGTACCTTTTCTCTTTTTCCTGGTTGTTGGTTGATTGTTTATTATACGATAAAAGATGCAAGAAGGTGTACCAAATTAAACGGCCTTTTTCCGCCTTTCCCTTTTTCAATTACACTATGATGATCGTTTTCTCGATAGAATTTTATTTCGAACGGAGTGGTATTCACTTTCGCCCTCTCGAATATAAATATTTTCATTCTTAATGATTTTTCTTCTTTTTTTTTAATTCAAGACAATGCATGCATATATTATTGCATGCATGTATGTATGTATGTATTTATGTGCAAATAAAATATCTGGAAAAAACACATAAGTTCCAATATTGTTAAGATATTATATATTTCATATACAAATACGTGTACACAAACTTTTTGATTGATAGTATACGTGTATATACGTATAAATGTATATATATATGTGTATGTTATTATCTACATTTCGTGTCTTCGTGCACCATCGCACGTTTATTAATCGGCAATCAGGAAAACGCTTTGAAAATTAAAATGAAATTGTTAGGTCGATGTTCGTTCAGCCGAGAAATCATTGGTTATCTTCCGTTTCCTATAACGCCTATTTTTCTTTCTTTTTCTTTTTTTTTGCTTCTTTGCAGGAGATAACTACATTTCGTGCTGTTTTTCTTTATTTTTCTATTTTCTTAATCGAAATATTAATGGTCATTGATATATCATACACTCTTTCTCTTTCTCGTTAAAATATTTCCTTGGTTTTAGATAAAGAAGCAAAACGAAAAAAGAAAAAAAGATTTTCACGTATGATTTATTAGAAGTTTTTTTTTTTTTATCTAAAAGATTAAATTGTGAGAGAAGTTGAGGAATAGTTGGAAATTGTGGGTTACATATCCAGGATTATATATTAGAATCGTTTATTTAATACGTTTCGTGCCACGTGTACCATTTTCGGTATATTTCTGAATCTCGTTTCTTTGCCAAGTGATATTTTTATTAACGATAAATCAAACCCGAATTAAGGGAGGGGGTTAGTGGGAAATAATAGTTGGCATCTTGTAATTGGCATTGTAATTGGCATCGATATAATTATTTATTCGTTATACGACGGTACATTTTATAGTTTCAACGTATACGTTACGAACAAAATAATTTGACAGCCAAAATATTATAAATTGATGTGTTTATTATTAAACATAATAAAAAAATTATATCATTTTTTTCTTATATATATTTTACTAACAATAAATATGTTTATCGTGTATATATATATATATGTGTTTTTTATTTAACTAATCGTAATTCAATTTTTACCAATCAATTTTCAACGCGAAACAAAATTTTTTGTTTGAATTGAATATCATTCGTTTAACAAATTATGAAATTTGGAAAAAAAAGAAGAAGAAGAAAAAAATAATTGTAAGAAAGACCAAACCGGTTTTATTCAAAGTTTGTAGTACGCTCTTGGGGTTACATCTCTCTTTCTCTCTCTTTCTTTTTTTTTTTTTTTTTTTTTTTTTTTTTTTTTATTTATTTCTTTAAAGCCGCACCTGAGAATCATTCGCGCCTAATTGCGCCGTTGTAATCGGAGAACTTGAAGGAACGTTATCCATGCGGCTGGACGCAAGCAGTTCACCGTGTCCCCGACTAGTTTTCAGCATCCTTCGAACCAACCCAACGATCATTCTCATCTCAATGTTGCAACATTTTATTTGATTTTATTTTTCATTTCATTTTCTTTTCTCTTTTCTCTTTTATTTTTCTTTTTTTATTCACACTATACTATCTTCAGTAGTTGCATTTAAGTAGTTGCACACAACATACATGTGTGCGTTTGATGCAACCGTCCGAAAATTATTAACATGACTCGTTGCAATATTTGAATTAAAACAAAAATGATGTTAAGTTAAGAAGACAAGAATTAATACCCCTCGTCATTGAAACATCAATTTTCTTTTTTTCTTTTTCTTTTCTAAAACCATGAACTGCAATAAATTTAGCAACTCTCGATTGGGTATTATGGTAGCAAGAAAGAAAATTTTCTTGTTTTTTTTTTTCTTCTTCTTTTTTTCCAATTAAAAGAGTATTCAGCACTCCGAACGGGTTAATAAAACGTTCGTATAGATGAAATTTACGATTCGATTTGATTTTACTCTTGCGTAAGATAGAACGAGAACGAATGAAATAAGAAACGAACGTTCTGAAAGATTATTAATCTAAAGATTCATTTTGATTATTTCAATCATTTCCTTTGAACCTATCCTATCTCTAATCTTTTTAAACGAATAGTATTATAATAGTAGTAGTAGTAGTAGTAGTAGTAATAGATCAATATATCTTTCCTTATTAAGACTGGCTCGCAACTTTCACGTATCTTTCTTCAAATATAATTTCGTTTCATATCTAACAACAATTTGTTGATATATACCTATATATATATACCTCCAATTTCTAATGGTTTTACTATTTCATAATGTAACATAGTTATATGAGAAATACCGTAAATAAACGTAAGTAAATAACGTTAAGAAATTAATTATAATGATATTCAATTAAGATAAACAATTTAATAAATTATCGTATTATATTTCATATACACACACACTAACATCATCTCGCGTAATAATTCGTATACGCGTTGTTCGATTGCATTATGTGTCTTTTTTTTTCTAATGCACTTTTGTTTTTACTGAAGAAAATACATAAATTATATTTTTTTTTTTTTTTTCTTTTTATTTTTTATTTGTTATTTTCTTACGTTGAAATTCCTCTCACGAAGGAAGTGGAACGAAAAAAAAAAGAAAAAATATATTTTGTATGAGTCATATTGATCGAAATGCTGAGTGTTCCGAGTAAACCGATAAACGATTTTCTGTCTGTACCTGCCCTCTTATTTCGCCATTCGAGTTCGTGAAAATATTCTCTTGAAGAAGTCGTTCACCGAACTGCACGAGAGAAAAAGAGAGAGAGAGAGAGAGAGAGAGAGAGAGAGAGAGAGAGAGAGTTACGTTTACACCGAGAGACCAATCAAAGCCCCCAGCCTTTATTTATGCGATATCTTCCGACTTATTACGCGAATGATCGAACCTAACAGCCGATACTGAACAGTTCTCTCTCTCTCTCTCTCTCTCTCTCTCTCTCTCTCTCTCTCTTTTTCTTTTTCTTCCTTTTCTCGTCCTCTGCAATTATCCTCGGATTGCGAAAGAAAACCGGGAAACAATTTTACCATCCGGGGATATATCTCGAGAATAAAATGAAAAATAATAATAATAATAATAATAAGAAGAAATGTAATAAGTGGGGCTAGAGAATGTAAGGGAAAGGGAATAAAAGAGAGAGAGAGAGAGAGAGAGAGAGATATTATCATTTATTAGTAACTTTCTTAGTTATTACATAGATCGTCAAATGGAAAGAAAGAAAAAGAAAGAAAGAAGAATAAAAAAACAAATACTACTGGAAATACAGGATATGTATAAAGACTTTCTCTTTTTCTCCCTTGGAAAATAAAATAAATGTATCTTGTTATTGATGAAAGTATTATAAATGATCGATAGATAGTTAAATATCGATTAGAAAAGGTAGAAGGAAAAAGAATAAGAATAAGAAGAAAAAAATTAAATATATATATAAAACAAAAAGTTTTAATTGGAAGTAAGAGAAGGAATAGGACGATGGAAGGAAGTTAACATGGGTGATTATTTGTGATCGTTGTGCAATTTCACTTTGCACAGACGCCAAGACGTCGTCTTGCATATCTTGTCTTGCATATCTCGTCTTGCATATTCTTGCCTTGCAACGTGGTGTCGCGTGTGTTATGTCGTTTCGTTTCGTTTCGTGTCGTCGACCTTTAAATATAACTTTTCTTTTTCTTTTTTATTACTCGAATGATTAGGGGGAAAAAATCATCTCTGCGAGGAAATAACTTTTTTTTTTTTTTTTTTCTTTTCTTTTCTTTTCTTTTTTAACTACTCTGGTTTTCCTTTCTTTTTTTCTCTCTCCTTTTTTCTTTTCTTTTTATATATATGAGTCGCGTTTATTTTGAAAAGTGGCATAAGTCATTTTTTCAACAAAAACAAATAACCGAGTTAATGGCAACACTAATTACAACTGAACAGCATCTTTTCATTTTCAATTAAAAAAAAAAGTGACTTATGCCACTTTCAAAATAAACGACTCATATATAATTTAGACCGGAAACAAATGTAGAGAGAGAGAGTGAGAAGATTAAAAAAAAATGGTCAACTTTGTTGTTTCAGGCGGTGAAATTGGAGTCGGTGCATCCAGGAAGGACGAGATATCTCGTTGTGGTGTCCTGTACGGGCCGACAGGATGCAGAAGAAAGTTGCCTGTTAGGTATCGATTGTCACGAAAGGGCAACAGTTGGTCTTGTCCTTCGAGTCCTAGCCGATACTGCCATTACTCTCGACGGCGATGGGTTAGTACTTGTTTTTTTATTTTTGTTTTAATACTTCGTATCTGTTGACACATTAGTATCATATGTATATATGCATTTTTGATTTGTAACATATTTTGAATTCTGATTAAATTTATATATGTTACAATTAGAAATAAATATAAAAGAGGGTTAATTACATTAAGTTTGAAAATCTTTGAGACAATTAATTAAATTTATATGTTACAATTAGAAATAAATATAAAAGGGTTAATTACATTAGGTTTGAAAATTTTTCAGATAATTGCATTTTCAAAAATAATAAATTATACATCGTAATACCACGTAAAATG